TGCATTACTATTCAATAGAGGAGTAATCAGTGTTTCCATTACTATTCAATAGAGGAGTAATCAGTGTTGCCATTACTATTCAATAGAGGAGTAATAAGTGTTTCCATTACTTTTCAGTAGAGGAGTAATCAGTGTTTCCATTACTATTCAATAGAGGAGTAATCAGTGTTCCATTACTATTCAATAGAGGAGTAATCAATGTTTTTATTACTTTTCAATAGAGGAGTAATAGGTGTTTCCATTACTTTTCAACAGAGGAGTAATCAGGGTCTGCATTACTATTCAATAGAGGAGTAATCAGTGTTTCCATTACTATTCAATAGAGGAGTAATCAGTGTTTCCATTACTATTCAATAGAGGAGTAATAAGTGTTTCCATTACTTTTCAGTAGAGGAGTAATCAGTGTTTCCATTACTATTCAATAGAGGAGTAATCAGTGTTTCCATTACTATTCAATAGAGGAGTAATCAGTGTTCCATTACTATTCAATAGAGGAGTAATCAATGTTTTTATTACTTTTCAATAGAGGAGTAATCAGTTTCCGTTACTATTCAATAGAGGAGTAATCAGTGTTTCCATTACTTTTCAACAGGGGAGTTAACAGTGTCTACATTACTATTCAATAGAGGAGAAATCAGTGTTTCCATTACTATTCAATAGAGGAGTAATCAGTGTTTCCATTACTTTAACAGGGGAGTTAACAGTGTCTACATTACTATTCAATAGAGGAGAAATCAGTGTTTACATTACTTTTCAACAGGCGAGTTAGCAGTGTCTGCAGAGTAATCACTGTTTCCATTACTTTTCAACAGAAGAGTAATCAGTGTCTGCATTACTATTCAATGGAGGAGTAATCAGTGTTTCCATTACTATTCAATAGAGGAATAATCAGTGTTTCCATTACTTTTCAACAGAGGAGTAATCAGTGTCTGTATTACTTTTCAATAGAGGAGTAATCACTGTTTCCATTACTTTTCAATAGAGGAGTAATAAGTGTTTCTATTACTTTTCAATAGAGGAGTAATAAGTGTTTCCATTACTTTTCAACAGAGAAGTAATCAGGGTCTGCATTACTATTCAATAGAGGAGTAATCAGTGTTTCCATTACTATTCAATAGAGGAGTAATAAGTGTTTCCATTACTTTTCAGTAGAGGAGTTATCAGTGTTTCCATTACTATTCAATAGAGGAGTAATCAGTGTTTCCATTACTATTCAATAGAGGAGTAATCAATGTTTTTATTACTTTTCAATAGAGGAGTAATCAATGTTTTTATTACTTTTCAATAGAGGAGTAATCAGTTTCCATTACTATTCAATAGAGGAGTAATCAGTGTTTCCATTACTATTCAATAGTGGAGTAATCACTGTTTCCATTACTATTCAATAGAGGAGTAATAAGTGTTTCCATTACTTTTCAGTAGAGGAATAATCAGTGTTTCCATTACTTTTCAACAGAGGAGTAATCAGTGTTTCCATTACTATTCAAAAGAGGAGTAATCGGTGTTTCCATTACTTTTAAACAGAGGAGTAATCGGTGTCTCCATTACTGGTCAATAGAGAAGTAATCAGTGTTTCCATGACTATTCAATAGAGGAGTAACCAGGTACAAATGTATAATTTCAACAGGTTGCTATGTGCAACCTTTCCCAGCCTGTTTGCAGCATTGTCTGTCATGCAGATCCATGTTAACCTACCTGATTACTTTAGACCAGCCTTTCCTGACCTTTTTCCCAGATTTTCAGGTGTATGGGAATCCCAGCAAAGATTAGTCCATATAAAGTCATAAGGTTTTCTCCTTAAACTTTGGTCAGTGAGAAGGTATATCAGTACAGTCTTTTAGAATTCATTAGAGGAGTAAAATGATCATTGGTGTCAGGGGTCAATGGGATTCAAATGCCTCTTACAGTTGTCACAGTCAAATTAGGGCCCTTTTTTATGATTGTAGACTTCTATACGACTTGGCCAAGCCTGCTCAGGAGAAAGTTGGTTGGCCTGAGGAATAATCAGTGTTTCTATTACTATTCAATAGAGGAGTAACAGTGTTTACATTACTGTTCAATAGAGGAGTAATCAGTGTTTCCATTACTATTCAATAGAGGATAATCAGTGTTTCCATTACTTTTCAATAGAGAGTAATTAGTGTTTTTATTACTTTTCAACAGGGGAGTTACAGTGTCTACATTACTATTCAATAGAGGAGTAATCAGTGTTTCCATTACTATTCAATAGAGGAGTAATCAGTGTTTCCATTACTTTTCAACAGGGGAGTTAACAGTGTCTTCAGAGTAATCACTGTTTCCATTACTTTTCAACAGAAGAGTAATCAGTGTCTGCATTACTATTCAATGGAGGAGTAATCAGTGTTTCCATTACTATTCAATAGAGGAGTAATCAGTGTTTCCATTACTTTTCAACAGAGGAGTAATCAGTGTCTGTATTACTTTTCAATAGAGGAGTAATCAATGTTTCCATTACTTTTCAATAGAGGAGTAATCAATGTTTCCATTACTATTCAATAGAGGAGTAAATCAGTGTTTCATTACTATTCAATAGAGCAGTAATCACTGTTTCCATTACTATTCAATAGAGGAGTAATCAATGTTTTTATTACTTTTCAGTAGAGGAGTAATCAGTGTTTCCATTACTATTCAATAGAGGAGTAATCAGTGTTTCCATTACTATTCAATAGAGGAGTAATCAATGTTTTTATTACTTTTCATAGAGGAGTAATCAGTGTTTCCATTACTATTCAATAGAGGAGTAATCACTGTTTCCATTACTATTCAATAGAGGAGTAATCAGTGTTTCCATTACTATTCAATAGAGGAGTAATCAGTGTTTTTATTACTTTTCAATAGAGGAGTAATCAATGTTTTTATTACTTTTCAATAGAGGAGTAATCAGTGTTTCCATTACTATTCAATAGAGGAGTAATCAGTGTTTCCATTACTATTCAATAGAGCAGTAATCACTGTTTCCATTACTATTCAATAGAGGAGTAATAAGTGTTTCCATTACTTTTCAACAGAGGAGTAATCAGTGTTTCCATTACTTTTCAGCAGAGGAGTAATCAGTGTCTCCATTACTGTTTCAATAGAGGAGTAATCAGTGTTTACATTACTATTCAATAGAGGAGTAATCAGTGTTTTCCATTACTATTCAATAGAGGAGTAATCAGTGTCTCCATTACTGTTCAATATAGGAGTAATCAGTGTTCCCATGACTATTCAATAAAAGAGTAACCATTGGTACAAATGTATAATTTCAACAGGTTGCTATGTGCAACCTTGTCCCAGCCTGTTTGCAGCATTGTCTGTCATGACAGATCCATGTTAACCTACCTGATTACTTTAGACCAGCCTTTCCTGACCTTTTTACTCCAGATTTTCAGGTGTACGGGAATCCCAGCAAAGATTAGTCCATAAAGAGTCATAAGGAAAATTCTCCTTAAATTGGTGGTCAGTGGAAGGTATAACCCCGTACAGTCTTGGTTAGAATGCCACCATTACAGCCAGCTAAAATGATCATTGGTGTCAGGGGTCAATGGGATAACAAATGCCTCTTACATTTGTCACAGTCAAATTAGGGCCCTTTTATTATGATTGTAGACCTCTTTACGACTTGGCCAAGCCTGCTCAGGACAAAGTTGGTTGGCCTGGTTTGACTGCACCAGATACTATTGTTTCTCATATAGGACACACAATGTCTTCCCTTAGGCACAAACATGCAAGTTCACCTGATCAAAACAAGCATGTTTGTAGACAGATTTTTCTTTAGGAAGATCATTCGGTGACTGGGTGGTTCAAGAATGGCTGGGCATGGTCTAATGTAGAGTTCCGTGGAGCCCAAATGGCTGGGCATTGTCTAATATAGGGTTCCGTGGAACCCCAAATGGCTGGGCATTGTCTAATATAGGGTTCCGTGGAACCCCATTGGCTGGGCATTGTCTAATATAAGGTTCCGTGGAACCCCAATGGCTGGGCATTGTCTAATGTAGAGTTCCGTGGAGCCCAAATGGCTGGGCATTGTCTAATATAGGGTTCTGTGGAGCCCAAATGGCTGGGCATTGTCTAATATAGGGTTCCATGGAACTCCAATGACTGGGCATTGTCTAATGTAGAGTTCCGTGGAACCCCAATGGCTGGGCATGGTCTAATGTAGAGTTCCGTGGAGCCCAAATGGCTGGGCATTGTCTAATATAGGGTTCCATGGAGCCCACATAGCTGGGTATTGTCTAATATAGGTTTCCGTGGAACCCCAGTGGCTGGGCATTGTCTAATGTAGTGTTCCGTGGAACCCCAACGTTCCTCCTGAGGGTGCTTGGGGTTCCTTTAGATGTGGGTCATTGACTTCCCACATGATAATGCTTGCATAGCTACAGTTCCAATGCCACTTGGCAGAACCAGCAGCATGACACCAAAGATCTTTTTAGCAGTCTGTAAGGCTGACCACAGCTGTGAAGGTTGTATTCTTCTTGCCCCAATGGAGGCCTTTTTTTATTATTGACCCCTAATAAATTGGTTCTAGTAAGGGTTCCCTGGAATGTGAAAATTATTATAGAGTTCCTTGCGGTAAAAAGGTTGAGAAAGGCTGGTCTAGGAACAAAGTAACATTTGGGGCACTGGCCACTGTACATGAAACTAGGATTGTGTCCTGGATGGCCGGTACATTTCCCCATTATTGAAGTTGTGGTCCCTTTAAGCGAGATGACTTGAATGCAGTTTTAGTACTCACGGGTTCTCCCCCCTGCGGGGTTCTGGGGTAGTCCGGTTGGAGAGGAGAGGATTGATTTCAAGTATTATCAGTAAGCCCTCATTGATACCTGGATTTCAGAGGGACCTTTGGGTGGGAAAAGAACCTCCAAGCCCTGATTACAGGGACTCTGGTCATGCAGGGGGTTAAGCCACCTACAAGAAGCAATGAGGAATCCGCACCCGTCTGTGAGGTAGAGTGGAGCCCTGTGCAAGTGTGAACTGTCTGACAACTGAGACAGTTTTTGCTGCCTTTGCAGCACTCCGAGACAGACGGGGAACCCTAAACCCTGGTATGGGACTGGTAAATTGGTGGTGAGCCATCATATTGTTTTCAGGATATTTCAACTGTGGACTGTTTGCATTTATCTTTGACAAAGAAATTGTTTTATTCCTGACTTCTGAAGAAGCGATTAAGACTGCGTTACTTTTACGAACGCCCGGTTGGTGATCCCAAGTTCCCCATATCACACCACCCAATTGGGCATTGTTTGTGAATTAGCGATGTCTTATAACAGGGCTCAGTGGCGGGGGAAAGTAACGGTATTAATGAAAACTTCCGTGTTTAGATACTGATCTGGAATCTGGATGACGGGGAAGCAGTGAAAATGATAGACTGTCACACGGATGTCATCCTTTGCATGTCCTTCAACACAGACGGGAGCCTACTGGCCACCACCTGCAAAGATAAGAAGTTGCGTGTGCTGGAACCTCGTTCAGGGAGAGTGCTGCAGGTGATCGGTGATCGTTCACGTGACTATATTCATTTTATGATTTACCTTCTTCATTGTATACTTCATGTCTTTCATTATCTTATGTTCAGCATTGTAATTATTGTGTGTTTATTTAACCCCTTCACACCTAAGGGGAAAACAAATCTAAACGCCTAAGCACAATTTTGCAACGTTGACATGTGTTAGTAAAACTATACATATCATCACAACTACTTTGTACATCCAGGTGAATTATACCGCGTTTTTCTTCAGGACAAATTGGGCTTTCATTTGGTGGTAAATGTTAATGGATATCGCCTGATTTTTTTTATTATCAAAGGAAAACTGGCCCAAAATACTAAAAAAAAAAATATTTTTTTTTATAGCTGTATGGTTCTTGTTACTACCATAACCTACCACCAAAGGACAACCCAAAATAAATTCTCCAGCTCTTGACGATCGCAGCGATACCATATATGTGTATGTTATTTGTTGTTTGTACCCGTAGTACAGCCCAGAAACAATAGTGTGCATTTTGTCTTTTTTTTGTCTTTTTTTTTTTACCTAAAACACACTGACATTGGCACTAACTGACACTGATACCAATTTTTTTTTAAAATCCTGACTGTAACGGAAGCGTAGGCAGGACAGAGCACACGGAGAAGATGGGGAACACACAAAGCTTTATTGAAGCAACAAAATGACAGACACTCAATGGGGAAATGGCAGGGAGGGTGATGTGTGCGCAAACCAGGGACGATTCCAGGCACGGGGGGTCTTCGGCAACAGGCAGGCAATCTCCCTCCTAGGCTTGGGGCCTCAGCCAAGCTCCCTCCGTGACTGGACAGCAGATTGGAGACTCGGGCAACAGGCGGGCAACCTACCCCTGAGCAGGGGTCTTGGGCAACAGGCAGGTAATCTACCCCTGGGCAGGGGCCTCGGGCAACAGGCGGCAATCTACCCCTGGCAGGGGTCTCGAGCAACAGACGGCAACCTACCACTGGGCAGGGACCTCAGGCAACAGGTGGCAATCTACCCCTGGGCAGGGGTCTCGGGCAACAGGCGGCAATCTACCACTGGGCAGGGACCTCGGGCAACAGGCGGCAATCTACCCCTGGGCAGGGGTCTCGGGCAACAGGCGGCAACCTACCACTGGGCAGGGACCTGGGGTAACAGGCGGCAATCTACCACTGGGCAGGGACCTCGGGCAACAGGCGGCAATCTACCCCTGGGCAGGGGTCTCGGGCAACAGCAGGCGGCAACCTACCACTGGGCAGGGACCTCGGGCAACAGGCGGCAATCTACCCCTGGGCAGGGGTCTCGAGCAACAGGCAGGCAACACCTACCACTGGGCAGGGACCTCGGGCAACAGGCGGCAATCTACCCCTGGGCAGGGATCTCGGGCAACAGGCGGCAACCTACCACTGGGCAGGGACCTCGGGCAACAGGTGGCAATCTGCCCCTGGGCAGGGGTCTTGGGCAACAGGCGGCAACCTACCACTGGGCAGGGACCTCGGGCAACAGGCGGCAACCTACCACTGGGCAGGGACCTCGGGCAACAAGCGGCAATCTACCCCTGGGCAGGGGTCTCGAGCAACAGGCGGCAACCTACCACTGGGCAGGGGCCTTGGGCAACAGGCGGCAATCTACCCCTGGGCAGGGGTCTCGGGGACTCAACGGGACTCTAACTGTGGAGTCTGGCCTCAGCACAGCTCCCACCCAGCTTTCTAGGGACATTGGGTTCACGGGGACTCAACGGGTAGCGATGGCTCAAGCACTCAGGGGCACCACAGGTAGCTATACTCCGGGCTTGCCATGGGGCGGTTCAAGTAAGGGTAGTCTAGGCGTGTAGTAGGGCAGTGCATAACCCAGGTGGTCTGTGCGCACAACAGGGACAGTTCAGGACACGGGTGGTCAGTGCACACAGCGGGGCAGTTCGGAACACGGGTGGTCGGTGCACACAGCGGGGACAGTTCAGGACACGAGTGGTCGGTGCACACAGCAGGCACAGTTCAGGACACAGGTGGTCAGTACGCACAACAGGGACAGTTCAGGACACGAGTGGTCGGTGCACACACCGAGGACAGTTCAGGACACGAGTGGTCGGTGCACACAGCAGGCACAGTTCAGGACACAGGTGATCAGTGCGCACAACAGGGACAGTTCAGGACACGAGTGGTCGGTGCACACAGCAGGGACAGTTCAGGACACAGGTGGTCAGTGCTTACAACAGGGACAGTTCAGGACAAAGGTTGTCAGTACACACAACAGGGACAGTTCAGGACACGGGTGGTCGGTGCACACAGCGGGGACAGTTCAGGACACGGGTGGTCGGTGCACACAGCGGGGACAGTTCAGGACACAGGTGGTCAATTGCGCACAACAGGGACAGTTCAGGACACAGGTGGTCAGTGCACACAACAGGGACAGTTCAGGACACGGGTGGTCGGTGCACACAGCGGGGACACTTGAGGACACGAGTGGTCGGTGCACACAGCAGGGACAGTTCAGGACACAGGTGGTCAGTGCGCACAACAGGGACAGTTCAGGACACTCACGGTAAGCAGGTTGCAGATCCTCAGCGGCAGGCGGCTCCAGACAGGGAGGACCAGCGGTCAGTGTTCCAGGGACAACCAGCGATCAGCATACAGCAGCAGCTCCCCGGGCACTCAACAGCGGACGGCTTCCAGGGACACGCAGCCACGGACAGTGTGCTGGGTCCCTCAGCAGCAGCTCCCAGGGCACTCAGCAGCAGACAGGGTGCAAGGGTGCTCAGTAGACAGGCTTACAGACTTGTAGGGTCTGGCAGGGTCTCAGCTGTGGGGTCTGACCTTTGAGGAGAAGGCTCATGCAGAGCTGTGGAGACTCCCAACCCTGGGGTATTGCAGAGGGCTACAGTCCTGAACTTTTGGGTGTCTGCAGAGTGCGCAGGGGGGATGGCTGGGGAGGCATGGTCCCCCTCACCCGAGCCTTTCAGAATCTTTTTGGGAGCAAGATGATTCCAGCAGCATTGACAGGAAGAGAGGAGGGCTGCTTCCTGTGCAAGTCTTTTGAAAACCATGTGGGACACAGCTAGGTTGCTTCGGCAATGGCCAGCCCAGCCCTGTCCATGGAAGCTCCACAGACATCGGAATGTGCAAGGGGGAAGGGAGGGGTGGAGGGATATGGCAGGGGATGGGAGAGGCACTGGCAGTCCCTGACACTGACCTTTGACCCTGACATTTTTTACCTTGACCTTTGACCCTGACCTTGACCCAAACAATAACTCTGGCACTTAACTAGATCAAACCTTGATCTAGGTATTGCTTCTTTATTTTTTATTTTATTTTTTAATATTTATTTATTTATCTTTTTTTTTTTTTTCTTACAAACCTTATTTTTTCTCTCTATGCCAGGAGTTAGAGAGATACAATGTATAACAGAATGTATATAATGATACAATGTATAACAGAATGTATACAATGATACAATGTATAATATGATGTATATAATGATACAATGTATAACAGAATGTATATAATGATACAATGTATAATGTATACAATGATACAATATAACAGAATGTATATAATGATACAAATAAGAGAATTTATATAATGATACAATGTATAACAGAATGTATATAATGATACAATGTATAATAGAATTTATATAATGATACAATGTATAATAGAATGTATATAATGATACAATGTATAACAGAATGTATATAATGATACAACGTATAATAGAATGTATATAACGATACAACGTATAACAGGATGTATATAATGATACAATGTATAATAGGATGTATATAATGATACAATGTTTAATAGAATGTATATAATGATACAACGTATAATAGGATGTATATAATGATACAATGTATAATAGGATGTATATAATGATACAACGTATAATAGGATGTATATAATGATACAATGTATAATGGGATGTATATAATGATTCAACATATAATAGGATGTATATAATGATACAATGTATATTAGAATGTATATAATGATACAATGTATATTAGAATGTATATAATGATACAATGATATAATGGAATGTATATAATGATACAATGTATAATAGGAATGTATATAATGATACAATGTATAATGGAATGTATATAATAATACAATGTATAATAGGATGAATATAATGATACAACGTATAATAGAATGTATATAATGATACAACGTATAATAGGATGTATGTAATGATACAATGTATATTAGAATGTATATAATGATACAATGTATATTAGAATGTATATAATGATACAATGTATAATGGAATGTATATAATGATACAATGTATAATAGAATGTATATAATGATACAATGTATCTCTCTTCTCCATTCATAGAGAGAGGAAAAAAACAAGGGGGCTGGGCTGTACAGTGACTGATCACTGTGATAGCCAATCAGAGGCTGTCATAGCGATCATGTGACCCGGAATCGGGAGTCCCGGGTCCCGATCTTTAGAACAGAACCCAGGGCTCTCCGTGACACCGCGGTCTTTGTGCTGGGAGCGCGCAGTCCCAGCACAAAGACAGCTACGCAAATATGCAGCTCCATGGAAAAAAGCCCAGTTCTGTGAGGTTTTTTCATTAAGCCTGCTGGGATGAACAAAAAAAACTGATAGTGTGTACGGGAAATTCGTCTGTCAGGCTTATTCAGTGGTGCAAAAAGCAATACAGATAAAATACTGCACTCACTTAAAACAGAAAGATAAGTAGTAACTCATATCCTAGAATTTAAAAACAGGCTCATGGGCAAGAGGGTGAGACGTCTGTCAGATGTAGTTGTGTGCCTGATCCAGAGAGGAGATCGATTGAGTCCATCAGCAGGTGGTGCTGTGCATGTGCAGCATGGATGGTAAGCCTGGTGGAATCTCCAAGGTGTCTGCCAGCAGATGGTGCTGTGCATATGCAGCATGGATGGTGGAGCCTGGCAGAGTCTCCAAGATGTACGGGATCAGCACATGTCGTGTCTGACGTCATCACAATGCGACGCATTTCTGAGCATGTGCAGGACAAAATTAATCCAGGCGCGCAGTTTCATCAGGCAGGGCCAAGGAAACAAGCGGACAGTAAGACCTATAGACATGATCTTAGCCAGTCTTTCTCAACCTTGTTACCCAAGGGGACCCCATGAAATAATTTTCAGGAGGTCTATGGGAAAATGCCCCTTACGTTGGCAGTCAGTAGGATTAATGCAATCCTTACAGTGGTGGTCAGAATGCCACCATTACAGCCAGCTAAGAAGATAAATTGATGTCATGCTTTTGGTTTTGCCAAGTGGTGTTAGTCTAGGAACTATGCAGGCACCATCAGATGGGAAGACAATCAACCACAGCCTAAGGGACCCCTAGCAACTTTTGGAGAAACTCTAGGGTTTCATGGAACCCTGGTTGAGAATGGCTGGTCTAAGCTGTGCCAGATGACTGGTTCCTAAACCAAATGTTCTCCTGAGACCTATTGAGCAAAGCAGGAGCACTAAAGACACCCCTTGTACCTGGCTTATCAGGAGTGACTAAGGGGACCTTAAAGAATACTTCTATTCAGTTGATTCAGTTGCCGGTTTCTAACGCGAGCAAAATCCTTTCTTGTATTACGAGAGGTATAGACTCCAGAGAGAAAGATATCATATTACCCCCCCCCCCCCCCGGTACAAATTAGTAACACCTCATCTTGAATATGCAGTTCAATTTTGGGCTCCAATTCACAAAAAGAACATTGGGGAACTGGAGAAAGTACAGAGAAGGGCAACCAAACTGATATGAGGCATGGAGGAGCTCAGCTATGAGGAAAGATTAGAGGCACTGAATTTATTCTCTACTGAGAAGAGGAGATTAAGGGGGGATATGATCTCCATGTATAATACATAAGGGGGGATATGATCTCCATGTTAATACATAAGGGGGGATATGATCTCCATGTATAATACATAAGGGGGGGATATGATCTCCATGTATAATACATAAGGGGGATATGATCACCATGTATAATACATAAGGGGGATATGATCTCCATGTATAATACATAAGGGGGGATATGATCTCTATGTATAATTCATAAGGGGGGGATATGATCACCATGTATAATACATAAGGGGGGATATGATCACCATGTATAATACATAAGGGGGGATATGATCTCCATGTATAATACATAAGGGGGGATATGATCTCTATGTATAATACATAAGGGGGGATATGATCTCTATGTATAATACATAAGGGGGATATGATCTCCATGTATAATATATAAGGGGGGATATGATCTCCATGTATAATACATAAGGGGGATATGATCTCCATGTATAATACATAAGGGGGGATATGATCTCCATGTATAATACATAAGGGGGGATATGATCTCTATGTATAATACATAAGGGGGGATATGATCTCTATGTATAATACATAAGGGGGATATGATCTCCATGTATAATATATAAGGGGGGATATGATCTCCATGTATAATACATAAGGGGGGATATGATCTCCATGTATAATACATAAGGGGGGATATGATCTCCATGTATAATACATAAGGGGGGATATGATCTCCATGTATAATACATAAGGGGGGATATGATCTATGTATAATACATAAGGGGGGATATGATCTCCATGTATAATACATAAGGGGGGATATGATCTCCATGTATAATACATAAGGAGGGATATGATCACCATGTATAATACATAAGGGGGGGATATGATCACCATGTTTAATACATAAGGGGGGGATACGATCTCCATGTTTAATACATAAGGGGGGATATGATCTCCATGTATAATACATAAGGGGGGATATTATCACCATTTTTAATACATAAGAGGGGATATGATCACCATGTATAATACATAAGGGGGGATACAATCTCCATGTATAATACATAAGGGGGGATATGATCTCCATGTATAATACATAAGGGGGGATATGATCACCATGTATAATACATAAGGGGGGGATACGATCTCCATGTATAATACATAAGGGGGGATATGATCTCCATGTATAATACATAAAGGGGGATATGATCTCCATGTATAATACATAAGGGGGGATATGATCTCCATGTATAATACATAAGGGGGGATATGATCTCCTATGTATAATTCATAAGGGGGGATATGATCTCCATGTATAATACATAAGGGGGGATATGATCTCCATGTATAATACATAAGGGGGGATATGATCTCCATGTATAATACATAAGGGGGGATATGATCTCCATGTATATAATACATAAGGGGGGATGTGATCTCTATGTATAATTCATAAGGGGGGGATATGATCAGGGACAAGATGGTAGACCTACACAAGGCTGGACTGGGCTACCAAACTATGGTCAAGCAGCTTGGTGAGAAGGTGACAACAGTTGGTGCAATCATTCACAAATGGAAGAAACACAAAACAAGTGTCAGTCTCCCTAGGTCTGGTGCACCATGCAAGATCTCACCTCGTGGAGTGTCAATGATCATGAGAACAGTGAGGAATCATCCCAGAACTACACGTGAGGATCTTGTCAATGATCTCCAGGCAGCTGGGACCACAGTCACCAAGAAAACAATTGGTAACACACTACGCCGACAAGGACTGAAATCCTGCAGTGCCCGCAAGGTCCCTCTGCTCAAGAAAGCACATGTCCAGCCGCCCGTCTGAAGTCTGCCACTGAACATCTGAATGATGCAGAGGAGGACTGGTGGGAAGTGTTGTGGTCAGATGAGACCAAAATCGAGCTCTTTGGCATCAACTCATCATGTTTGGAGGAGGAGGAATGCTGCCTATGACCCCAAGAACACCATCCCAACTGTGAAACATGGTGGTGGAAACATTCTGCTTTGGGGGTGTTTTTCTGCTAAGGGGACAGGACAACTGCACCGCATCAAAGGGGCGTTGGACGGGGCAATGTACCATCAAATCTTGGGTGAGAACCTTCTTCCCTCAGCCAGGGCATTGAAAATGGGTGGTGGATGGGTGTTCCATCATGACAATGACCCAAAACACACGGCCAAGGCAACAAAGGAGCGGCTCAAGAAGAAGCACATTAAGGTCCTGGAGTGGCCTAGCCAGTCTCCAGACCTTCATCTGATTGAAAATCTGTGGAGGGAGCTGAAAGTTCGAGTTGCCAAACGTCAGCCACCAAACCTTAATGACTTGGAGAGGATCTGCCAAGAGGAGTGGGCCAAAATCCCCCCTGAGATGTGTGCGAACCTGGGGGCCAACTCCAGGAAACGTCTGACCTCTGTGATTGCCACAAGGGATTTGCCACCAAGTACTAAGTCATGTTTTGTGAAGGGGATCAAATCCTTCTTTCCCTCATGAACATGCAGATCAGTCATCATTTGTTAGACGCATTTCTGCTGAATTTGTTGTTGTATTCTGTCTCTCAGTGTTACACCGAACATTCCATTGTTAGACCGATCGTTTCTGTGTGAGGGGCGAACATTCAACATCAGCCGGGGAGCAAATACGCATTTCCTTCACTGTAAGGGGGGGATATGATCTCCATATATAATACATAAGGGGGGATATGATCTCCATGTATAATACATAAGGGGGGATATGATCACCATGTATAATACATAAGGGGGGATATGATCTCCATGTATAATACATAAGGGGGATATGATCTCCATGTATAATACATAAGGGGGGGATATGATCTCCATGTATAATACATAAGGGGTGATATGATCTCCATGTATAATACATAAGGGGGGATATGATCTCCATGTATAATACATAAGGGGGATATGATCTCCATGTATAATACATAAGGGGGGATATGATCTCCATGTATAATACATAAGGGGGGATATGATCTCCATGTATAATACATAAGGGGGATATGATCTCCATGTATAATACATCAGTGGTTCATATAGTGAACTCGGTGTAGTTATTCTCCCTGAGGTCATCACAGAGGACAAGGGGGCGCTCTTAATGTCTGGAAAAAAGAAATGTAATCTCCGAACATGGAAAGGTTTCTTCACAGTAAGAGCTGTGAAAATGTGGAATAGACTCCCTCCAGAGTTGGTTGTGGCCAGCTCAGTGGATTGCTGTAGGAAAGTCCTGGATTCTTTCTTGGATACACAGAATATAACTGGATATAACATTTATAGGTAAAGTTGATCCAGGGAATATCCGATTGCCTCTCGGGGGATCAGGAAGGAATTTTTCCTCTGCAGGAGCAAATTGGATCGTGCTTTGCTGGGTTTTTTTGCCTTCCTCTGGATCATCTGTGGGTGTAGGATTATAACTTTTATTTTTATATAATTTTATGGTTGAAATGGATGGACTTTTTGTCTTTTTTTCAGCCAGACTAACTACGTACTTTGTCTTTCTAGGCAGCAACCTGTAAAAACCACAAAATGACTCGAGTTGTTTTTCTGGGGAACATGAAGCGCCTACTTACAACAGGAGTCTCGAAGTGGAATACGAGGCAGATCGCACTGTGGGATCAGGTGAGAACGGCTGTGACAATAGTGTGCAGCAAATGGCATCTGACAAATCCCTTATTAGACATTAGCAGTGCACAGAAATTTCCGTAGAATGTTTCAGAAAATGATGAATGAGGGGAGAACAAAGTCCTAGTTAAGGGGTGGGCAACTGCGGCCCTCCAGCTGTTGGTGAACTACAAGTCCCATGAGGCATTGCAAAATTGACAGTTACAAGCATGACTCCAAAAGGCAGAGGCATGATGGGACTTGTAGTTCACCAACAGCTGGAGGGCCACAGTTGCCCACCCCTGTCCTAGTTAAGGTGGAGGGAGGAAACCACCTTGGGAAGAAGGAAGGCCTTTCCCTATCCCTTTAGGAAGGGCTCTTCCCACAGGCGTCCCTAGAGTTGGTGTCACCCGGTGCGGTAACACTTGGTGACACCCCCTCCGACGATCCCCGCAGACTGGATCGGATCTGCGGATTGAGGATTGCGGACTCCACGGCCGCGCACCGGGTGACACTGACCTGCGGAGATCGTTGGCTTTCTTTACAACTTACCTTCTCGTGGAGCGGGTTCAGTGTCACCCCGTATAGGTTGCATGCCGACGATCCCCACAGGATGGATCGGACCTGCGTATTGAGCATAATGGATCGGAGTCCGATCCCTTATGCTCCCCAATCCGCACATCCCATCCATCCTGCGGGGATCGTCGGCATGCAACCTATACGGGGTGACACTGAACCCGCTCCACGAGAAGGTAAGTTGTAAAGCAAGCCGACGATCCCCACAGGATGGATCGGATCTGCGGATTGAGCATAATGGATCAGAGCCCAATCCAATATCCTCCCCAATCCGCAGATCCGATCCATGCTGCAGGGATGGCCAGCATGCAACCTATACGGGGTGACCCTGGACCTGCTCCACGAAAAGGTAAGTTGTAAAGGAAGCCGGCGATCCCTGCAGGATGGATGGGATCTGCGGATTGGGGAGTATAATGGATCGGACTCCGATCCATTATGCTCAATCTGCAGATCCGATCCATCCTGCGGGGATCGTCGGCTTGCTCTACAACTTACCTTTTCGTGGAGCGGGTCCAGGGTCACCCCGTGCGGTCGGCGTCACCCGATGCGGGCCGCACCCCCACCTGCCTCGGGGCGCCACTGGCTCTTCCTACACCTCATAGTGGTTACGGCAATGAGAAAGACTTCTTGTTAGTGAGATTGGATAAGTGAACCTCCCTAAGCCCTGGTTCACATCGGCGCAACTTGTCATGAGATGTCACCGTTCCAAATCGCATGGCAAGTCACTCCCTAATGCTGGCAATGTAACCGTTATGAAAGTAGTTCCTGCCGTATTTTTTGCGATTGCAAGTTGCATCTGAAATCGCACTGGTCCGCGTCCTAAATGAAGCGCAATTTCAAAGTTGTGTTTGGTGTGAACCTAGCCTAATGGGCTTGAAGGGCCAATAAAACAAGGTTGCGATCCCATGGTGTCACTGGGGAGCATACGGTGGGAAGCAAGGTAAAATTAAAAAGTAAAAAAAAAAAATTAAATTAAAAAATCCAAAAAGAACTACTGAGTGAGCTGTGATTGGTCACAGCTTGTCACATGGTACAAGGCTGTTATGAATGGCCCTGTACCATGTGATCCCTGTGATCATTCACAGATTTCACACACAGTAAGCAATGATGTCAGAAGTGACATTTTGCTTACTACTCTGCATGTGATCACTGATTGGCCAATCAGTGATCACATGATCGGGACGTCACACAGAGGTCCCGTACTACGATTGGTGTTCCACTGTGTCCAAAGGACACAGCGGGCACCGGATCGCTGTGCTGTGCGCTCCCAGGGTGCGGGGAGGCCGTTTATAAATGACCACCTGACCCTGCACTGCCACCGTCCGGCCATTTATATACAACAGCCAAACGGGAGGCAGTTAAACTTGTCCGATAAAAAAAAATTTAAAAATCTAATTTCATCATAAATTTAGGCCAATATATATTCTGCTCCGTGTCTTTGCTAAAAAAAAAACCCCAATACGTGTAAATTAATTGGTTTGCATGAAAGTTATAGTGTCTACGAATGGCGGTATAGATACTGGAATTTTATTATACTAGTAATGGCACTCAAATGAAATTTATGTTCTTTTTTCCCCAAAAAATGGTGGTGTTTGTGATCGCCTGTGCGGTTTTCATTTTGCGCGCTATAAACAAAAAATACCCACAATTTTGTAAAAAAATATATATATATATTTTTTACTTTTTGCTATTAAACTTGTCCAATAAAAAAATTTTAAAAATCAAAATTCATCATAAATTTAGGCCAAAATGTATTCTGCTCCGTGTCATTGCTAAAAAAAAAAACCCTAATACGTGTAAATTAATTGGTTTGTGTGAAAGTTATAGTGTCTACAAATGGCGGTATATATACTGGAATTTTTTTTTATATATATATATATATACTAGTAATGGCACCCAAATTAAATTTATGTCCTTTTTTTTCCGACAAATGGTGGTGTTTGATCGCCTGTGCATTTTTTATTTTGTGCACTATAAACAAAAAATACCAACAATTTTGTAAAAAACAAATATATTTTTTCGACTTTTTGATATTAAACATGTCCAATAAAAAAAATGTAAAAAAATCAAATTTCATCATAAATTTAGGCCAAAATATATTCCGTTACATGTCTTTGCTAAAAAAAAAAAACAAAACAATACGTGTAAATTCATTGGTTTGCATGAAAGTTATAGTGTCTACAAATGGCGGTATGGTGAAACTCGAAAAATTAGAATCTGGTGTAAAAGTTCATTTATTTCAGTGCAGCAACTTAAAAGGTGAAACTAATATATGAGACTCATTCCATGCAAAGCAAGATAGTTCAAGCCGTGATTTGTCATCATTGTGATGATTATGGCTTACAGCTCATGAAAACCCCAAATCCACAATCTCAGAAAATGAGAATATTCCATGCAATCAATAAAAAACGGATTGTACATAGAACAATATCGCACCTCTGAAAAGTAGAAGCTGCATATGTACTCAGTACTTGGTTGGGGCCCCTTTTGCAGCAATTACTGCCTCAATGCGGCGTGGCATGGAAGCTATCAGCCTGTGGCACTGCTGAGGTGTTATGGAAGACCAGGATGCTTCAATAGAGGCCTTCAGCTCTTCTGCATTGTTTCGGTCTCATGTCTCTCATCTTTCTCTTGGCAATGCCCCATAGATTCTCTATGGGGTTCAGGTCAGGCGAGTTTGCTGGCCAATCAAGCACAGTAATCCCACGGTCATTGAACCAGGTTTTGGTGCTTTTGGCAGTGTGGGCGGAGCCAAGTCCTGCTGGAAAATGAAGTCAGCGTCCCCATAAAGCTCGTCTGCGGAAGGAAGCATGAAGTGCTCCAAAATCTCCTGGTAGACGGCTGTGTTGTCCCTGGACTTAATGAAGCACAGTGGACCAACACCAGCAGTGCCACAGGCTGATAGCTTCCATGCCACGCCACATTGAGGCAGTAATTGCTGCAAAAGGGGCCCCAACCAAGTACTGAGTACATATGCAGCTTCTACTTTTCAGAGGTGCGATATTGTTCTATGTACAATCCGTGTTTTATTGATTGCATGGAATATTCTCATTTTCTGAGATTGTGGATTTGGGGTTTTCATGAGCTGTAAGCCATAATCATCACAATGATGACAAATCACGGCTTGAACTATCTTGCTTTGCATGTAATGAGTCTCATATATTAGTTTCACCTTTTAAGTTGCTGCACTGAAATCAATGAACTTTTGCACCATATTCTCATTTTTCGAGTTTAACTTGTATATTAAACAGAAAAAAAAAATTACTATAAGTATGTGCCTGATATTGCATTAAATGACTAGAAATGAATGATCTACTTTACAGATATATATAAATACAGTATATTATGAAATGTTTCCGCAGGAGGATCTGTCCATGCCGCTGATAGAGGAGGAGATCGATGGGCTCTCAGGGATGCTGTTCCCATTCTATGATATGGACACACACATGCTGTACCTGGCTGGAAAGGTATTCCCATCTGTATAACCACATCCAGGCATTATCTCTGCTTCTCACCCATATTACATAACTGTACACTGCATTTATTATTATTATTATTATTTTTTTTTATTATTTTTATAATACAGGATTTATATAGCGCCAACAGTTTGCTCAGCACATTTACACCCATATCTAAGAAAAATATATTTGAAATATATTTAAAAAATATTCTTCCCAAATATATTGACATATATTTGAAATACTAAAATTTTGTCCATATTCAATATATTTAAAAAAAAAAATTAAAAAAAAATATATATACAGTCATGGCCGAAATTGTTGGCACCCTTGATATTTTTCCTGAAAATCAAGTATTTCACACAAAAAAGGTATTGCATTAACACATGTTTTGCTATACACATGTTTATTCCCTTTGTATGTATTGGAACAAATATAAAACAGAGGCAGAAAAGCAAATATGACATAATGTCACACAAAACCCAAAACCCCAAAAATGGGCTGGACAAAAGTATTGGCACCCTTAACTTAATATTTGGTTGCACACCCTTTGGAAAACATAACTGAAATCAGTCGCTTCCTATAACCATCAATAAGCTTCTGACACCTCTCACCCGGAATTTTGGACCACTCTTCCTTTGCAAACAGCTCCAGGTCTCTCTTATTGGAAGGACACCTTTTCCCAACAGCAATTTTAAGATCTCTCCACAGGTGTTCAATGGGATTTAGATCTGGGCTCATTGCTGGCCACTTCAGAACTCTCCAGCGCTTCTTTGCCATCCATTTCTGAGTGCTTTTTGACGTATGTTTGGGGTCATTGTCCTGCTGGAAGACCCAGGATCTTGGACGCAAACCCAGCTTTCTGACACTGGGCCCTACAGTGCGACCCAAAATCCTTTGGTAATCCTCAGATTTCATGATGCCTTGCACACAGTCAAGGCACCCAGTGCCAGAGGCAGCAAAACAACCCCAAAACATCATTGAACCTCCACCATATTTTACCGTAGGTACTGTGTTTTGTTCTTTGTAGGCCTCATTCCGTTTTCGGTAAACAGTAGAATGATGTGCTTTACCGAAAAGCTCTATCTTGGTCTCATCTGTCCACAAGACGTTTTCCCAGAAGGCTTTTGGCTTACTCAAGTACATTTTGGCAAACTGTAGTCTTGCTTTTTTATGTCTCTGTGTCAGCAGTGGGGTCCTCCTGGGTCTCCTGCCATAGCGTTTCATTTCATTTAAATGTCGACGGATAGTTCGCGCTGACACTGATGCTCCCTGAGCCTGCAGGACAGCTTGAATGTCTTTGGAACATGTTTGGGGCTGCTTATCCACCATCCGGACTATTCTGCGTTGCAATCTTTCATCAATTTTCCTCATCCGTCCACGACCAGGGAGATTAGCTACAGTGCCATGGGTTGCAAACTTCTTGATAATGTTGCGCACTGTGGACAAAGGCAAATCTAGTTCTCTGGAGATGGACTTGTAACCTTGAGATTGTTGATATTTTGCCACAATTTTGGTTCTCAGGTCCTCAGACAGTTCTCGTCTCCTCTTTCTGTTGTCCATGCTTAGTGTGGCACAGACAGACACACAATGCAAAGGTTAAGTGAACGTCTCTCCTTTTTATCTGCTTTCAGGTGTGATTTCTATATTGCCCACACCTGTTACTTGCCCCAGGTGAGTTTACAGGAGCATCACATGCTTGTAACATTCTTATTTATCCGCAGTTGTGAAAGGGTGCCAATACTTTTGTCCAGCCCATTTTTGGAGGTTTGTGTGACATTATGTCGAATTTGCTTTCTTTCCTCCCTTTTTTTGTTTTGTCCCAATACACACAAAGGGAATAAACGTGTATAGCAAAACATGTGTTAATGCAATACGTTTCGTGAGAAATACATGATTTCCTGGAGAAATATCAAGGGTGCCAACAATTTCGGCCATGACTGTATATGTGTGTGTGTGTGCGTGTGTGTATACACTGTATGTTTTTATTACAAAATATATCAAAAATATTTTTAAAAATACATTTCAAATATACTGTATGTCTTTAAAAATGCAAACCTACATTTTTGGAATGCATTTACAAATCTATGTAAGAATATATGTTAAAATGACTTTTTTATATGTTAAAAAAAAAATCCGAAGAATATATTTTAAAAAAGAAATATTTGTAAAAATATTTTTCATATATTTTGTAATATATAAAATATATATATATATATATACAGTATATTATATATATATATATATATATATATACACACACACACACACACATATATATATATATATATATATATATATAATTTATTTATTGAAATATATTGAATATGGCCAAAATTGTAGTATTTCAAATATATTTTTCTTCCATGTGGCAAGGATCATTATCCAGGATGTTAAAGTATTAAACCCACAAAAGCAAATGTAATATATTGCAGCTTACCAACTCTTAGCTGAAGTGGTTGCATTCATTTTTCTTTTTTAGGCTTTATGTTCATCTGGTGATCCAGCCTGTAAGTCTGTTGTTTTTCAACTTCCTTTAACCCCCCCCCCCCCGGAGGTATTCCCGAGTGTAGCTCGGGGTAAAGTTTCAGCACCACAAGCAGTAACCCCCCCTGAGCTACACTCGGGAATACACTGCAGCGTTGCTCCGGGATCCCTCCAGCACTTACCTTGTCCTGCGCTCCCGCGATGTCCCTCCTGCAGTGTCCCCGGCAATGTCCTCCGGCCGATGCCGGCATCTGTCTTCCGGGTTCCGTTCCCTGCGACGTCAGGATGTACGGGGGACGGAACTGGCGGGAAATTTGAAAATTTTAAAAGTGACATTCACTAAATCCACTAAAATCACATAGTATAACATTCCTGTATCAAACCATTTCACATACATTTTGTCCCGAGTGCTTTGTCCGGGCGCCCTGCCTGCATTTTTACTGTTCTTTCTGCCTGGAAACTGAGAAACGTCCATGGCGTCCAAAAAGCGTCCCTTTAGGTCAGACGCGGTTTTAGACCGGCTAGAGAACAGCGATAGTAAATCAGAACCACTTGCAGAATTGAGTGATAATGATTGGTGGGGGAAATTCCTCATCAGACACTGAAAACGATTCTGCGACTTTGCTCAGCGATGTGCGAACTTGGCGCTCTATTTCACATTTCAGTGTTTTTGGTTTGATTATATTATTGAATTACATTTATTATATTATTATTTTTTATGATTATTTATTAAATTATAATTTATGATTTCGTGTTTCAAATTTTATCATCCCCGGGATGTTACTAGACTCTTGTTCGGACAGATTTCAGTGAGTTATTCCTAAGAATTACAGGCCGACAATAAAAATAATACATATTTCCATGCAAAAAAAATGTACCGCTTTGAGCACAGAAATACTGACATCATCAGACCGCTAGGGAGGCTACTAGACCACACTGTCCTCTCTTGTGAACCCCCCTTTTTTCCTCTGTTTTTCCCCCTACACTGAGAGTTATGTTACACAATTTTTTTTTTCTTTCTATGGTCCCGAGGTTTTTGGGATCAAATTTGCCTTCTATAATGAGACATTTTCATCCAGACTTTGCGTATTTCAGGTTCATTACTCGATATTTGTGATGTGAGTGGCATTATTTCAGTTTCTGACACAGACAGTTTGTATCTAGTCTGAGGTTCCTGGCTAGTAAGTGTTTCATGTTGAGTGTATGTTCACGCCTTGTCTGCTGTGTGATGGCACTTCTTTGTGACGTGTACATTGTACAATGTCTCAATAAAGAATTGCAAAAAAAAAAAAAAAAAACAGACCACACTGTTCAGTAAAAAGTGTCAGTTAGAACAGGGGTCTCCAAACTTAATAAACGAAGGGCCAGTTTACTGTCCTTCAGACTTCAGGGGGGCTGGACTGTGGCCAGTGGGAGAAGAAAATGTCCCAACATCAGTGGGAGTTAACAATGCCTCATCATTGGTATTAACGGCAGATATAGTGCCCCATCATTGGTGTCAGTGGGAGGAATAGTGCCCCATCATTGGTATCAGTGGGAGGAATAGTGCCCCATCATTGGTGTCAGTGGGAGGAATAGTGCCCCATCATTGGTATCAGTGGGAGGAATAGTGCCCCATCATTGGTATCAGTGGGAGGAATAGTGCCCCATGATTGGTGTCAGTGGAAGGAATAGTGCCCCATCATTGGTATCAGTGGGAGGAATAGTGCCCCATCATTGGTATTAGTGGGAGGAATAGTGCCCCATCATTGTTGTCATTGGGAGGAATAGTGCCCCATCATTGGTGTCGGTGGGGAGGAATAGTGCCCCATCATTGGTGTCAGTGGGAGGAATAGTGCCCCATCATTGGTGTCAGTGGGAGGAATAGTGCCCCATCATTGGTGTCAGTGGGAGGAATAGTGCCCCATCATTGGTATCAGTGGGAGGAATAGTGCCCCATGATTGGTGTCAGTGGAAGGAATAGTGCCCCATCATTGGTGTCAGTGGGAGGAATAGTGCCCCATCATTGGTATCAGTGGGGAGGAATAGTGCCCCATCATTGGTATCAGTGGGAGGAATAGTGCCCCATCATTGGTATTAGTGGGAGGAATAGTGCCCCATCATTGTTGTCATTGGGAGGAATAGTGCCCCATCATTGGTGTCGGTGGGAGGAATAGTGCCCCATCATTGGTGTCAGTGGGAGGAATAGTGCCCCATCATTGGTGTCAGTGGGAGGAATAGTGCCCCATCATTGGTGTCAGTGGGAGGAATAGTGCCCCATCATTGGTATCAGTGGGAGGAATAGTGCCCCATGATTGGTGTCAGTGGAAGGAATAGTGCCCCATCATTGGTGTCAGTGGGAGGAATAGTGCCCCATCATTGGTATCAGTGGGAGGAATAGTGCCCCATCATTGGTATCAGTGGGAGGAATAGTGCCCCATCATTGGTATCAGTGGGAAGAATAGTGCCCCATTGTTGGTGTCAGTGGCGGGACCTATACCTCACTGTTGCTGATGGGGGAAATAATGCCCCAAGGACTGGATAATAGCAAGCAGAAGACTGCAGTTTGGAGACCACTGAGTTAGAGGGATGAGGTAAACCATTGACCACTGACAGGGGTGCTTACAATGATCATCTTTTATTCATGTAAAACATTTATCTCAAAAGGAATAAAAAAACTGTTGCTGTAACTGATTATTATGTGTTATCCGGAGTTCAGGTTTAATCTGTTAGTCAAGTCCAACACTCCCCTCCCCCCGGACTGACAATGCTGCTGTCCAAAGGTGCCCCCCTGTGCTCCTTCATCCAGATTGGGGGCGCTCTAATACAGGAGGTGTGCTACTGGCCAGATGGCCAGGTGAAAACAGAGGAGAAAAAGAAAAGGAAAGCAGCGCTACATGGAAGGACTGAACTATAGTTACTTTTTGGTTTTGTTTAATATGGCTTATATATATATAACTATATCCCTCCCTCAGATCAGATCTATAATGTCAGATTTATTCACATTTAGATGATCGACAGATCTGTGAATGTCAATTGTTCTTTCCAATTAAAAACTGACATTTTGTTTCCATTCAGCCTTTTCTTTGTTTTTTTCTTTATACCCACGAATGCGATTTTTTCGAGGTGTGTTTTTTGGGACATGTCATCCAAGTACTTACTTTTTTATTTTTATGTATTCCTTAATCTATGTCAGGGAGACGGGAACATCCGATACTATGAAATCACGGTGGAAAAGCCATTCCTGACCTATCTCATGGAATTCCGATCAGCGGCTCCACAGAAAGGACTTGGTGAGATGCTGAGAATTTTGGAATACAAATCTCCATTGTAAAGGACTATAAGGGCTCGTTCACACTAGTGGTTGGGGATGGGGGGGATAAAACCCTGTGGTTTAGCTGTGCTTTTACCACCCACAAACCACTACTCCTTTTAGCTGCAGAGGCAGCGGCCAGGGAGTGTACACTGCAACAATCACAGTACTGAGGATGTTTTTCCAGTTTTCTGAAGTGTAAGAAGACAATGACTTTCCCAAGCTCTATCTCTGTGAAGAACTAACACTGACTGAGGGAACATGGAAGAAACAGGGAGGGTCTTGCTAGGACAAATTTAACTAGCAGGAGTGGGGCCCGCTCCCTCTATACATTTCTTACTATGTTTGTTACTAATGTCCTTAACCCCTTGGCGCCGGCACCTCCCGGCCCTTTAAGGGTTTCAGAAGCCAGGAGGTGGGGGGGGGGGGTTTTGGGTCATGTGACCATTGTGATTCGCTGTCACAGCGGTCACATGATCGGGAAAGGTCCCGATCGCAAGAGGAGATCGGGACCTTTCCGTGAGTACCGGACACATGTGCTGGGAGTGCGCAGCGCGCGCGCTCTCAGCGCATATGTTTTTCTTAATTGCGCGCAAATGTGCGGCCATTCGGTGTCAAGGCCCAGATGCCGGGAGGCTGCACATCTGCGTGCGGCCGGCGCCAAGAGGTTAAAGTGGTTGTAAAGGCTCAAGGTTTCTTATCTTCATGTATTCTATGCATGAAGGTAAAAAAACCTTCTTTGTGCTGCATCCCTGCCCAGCCCCCCCTAATACTCACCTAAGCCCCCTCTTGTTCCAGTGATGTGCATGGGAGTCTCAGCTATGTCGGTACTCCCTCTCCTCATTGGCTGAGACTGCAGTGGGAGCCAGTGGCGTCCCTTATTGGATGCTGGGGGTGCGTGCCACACCGGGTGACACCTATCTCACAGGGTGACACCAAAAAGTTTTACAGCAAGCCGACGATCCCTGCAAAATGGATCAGATCTGCGGTAACACGTGGTGTCACCCCTTCAGAAGTGGGCGGTCCCTGTCGTGCACACAGAGCCTGGCTCTTCCCCTCCCTGTGTCTTTGTCACACCCCCCACCCCCGGACCGATGTTGCAAGATCAGTTAACCCCCGTTCCATTATGCTCCCCAATCCACAGATTCGATCCATCTTGCAGGGATCGTCGCTTGCAACTGGGGTTAACTGATCTTGCAACACCGGTTTGGGGGTGCGACAGGGACACAGGGAGAGGACCACCTCTGGAGGGGTGACACCATGCGTTGCCGCATCGGGTGACACCAACCCTAGGGACGCCTCTGGTGGGAGCCATTGGCTCTCGCTACTGTCAATCACAGCCAGTGTGCCAATGAGAAGAGAAGAGGCGGGGCCAAGCTGCTGCTCCATGTGTGAATGGACACATGGAGCAGCAGGTGCCTCCATAGCAAGCTGCTTGCTGTGGGAGCACCCAACAGGAGGGACTTTTTTATATACTTTTTTATGACCATTGCATGCCAATTGATGGGTTCCATAGGGCTTGACACTACAGAATCTACGTGGGCCACAACATGCCAACTTCCTCGGAAAAGGGCCTCTGGTTCTCCAATGCCGTACCCACCGCTCCACCACTGTATTCTTGAGTTCAGGATAGTTCTCCATATGACTTTATATTAAAAAATAAAAAAGCTTTTTTCTTCGGGGGTTCTTTTTGCACAACTTCATATGGGTCTGGATTGCTCCCCAGACAGCTACTGTAGTTTAACCTATGTGAAACCTCAACGATCATGCAGTGGACTGTTTCATTTGTGTCCTTTTCTTTTGTTATGTAATGAAAAAAGCTTATAAATAAAGAACAAAAAAAAAAAATGGGGGGGAGGGGACAGAGGGAGATACCAAATCACATAAATAAACAAGTTGTGGTGGCCCAAAACAGTAGCAACCCGATACAGGTCAATACAACAGAGAGAATTTACAAATAGGTGGGACAGAACTCTACTCCATAACTTTTGAACCTTTGATCACAATGTCTTGTCATGTTTTCTATAGGAGTAATGCCAAAGCACGGGTTGGATGTGTCAGCATGTGAGATATTTCGCTTTTACAAGCTCATCACCCTAAAGAATCTTATAGAGCCGATATCTATGATAGTTCCAAGAAAGGTGAGTCTTGGTGTGGCACCTACCCGTACGGCACTTTGCTCCGGAAGCCTTTGGGTAGCTGGAGAACTTCAAGGATAACACAAGTCTTCTTTGTTGCAGTCAGAAACCTACCAGGAGGATATTTATCCTATGACCCCGGGGATTGAGCCAGCCATGAGTGCTAAAGAATGGCTAAGTGGCATCAACAAAGGTAAAGGATGTGGATTCACATGGAGGGGGGGGGGTTAAAATCACGGGGTTGAGCCATGGTTTGGTCTACCGTCGCCCTATTCCCCTTTACCACCACCACCTGTTACCCCATTAGCTGCAGAGGGAGCAACTGGGGGAATACATGAAGCCTTGCTTTTTGCTTCATGGCCATGGCAGGAATTATACCCCCTGTCCCTTTCGACGGGCAAGGAGTGGGGATTGCTCTTCATAGAGCACCACAAGCTGGAACGAGCCCAAAGACACAATATGGAAGCAGTTTATCCCCCCAGTGTTCCCTACTTTCTCCACAAAATGTACTGACCCCGACCTCTGACCCATAACTTAACCTTTGACCCTTACCTTGACCCTAACACTAACCCTGCCACTGACCTAGATCTAGCTTTTTATTTTATTTTTTCTTCTTTTATTATTTTTTTACACGCTTTTGTTTTTTTAACATCTTTCTCCCCTGCCAAGGAGAGAAAGATACAATATACCTTTCTCTCCATTCAGAGAGGAGAAAGAAAACACAGGGGCGGGCTGTACATTGACTGATCACCGTGATAGCCAATCAGAGGCTATTACAGTGATCAGGTGACTGAGAACTGTTAGTATGAGACCCGGGGCTCTCAGTGAGAGTCCAGTGTCTGTGCTGGGAGCAGGTCCGCTTTGAAGCCAAACTCTAGGATACAAAGTAGAGAAGAATGGGTTAGAGAGGTCCAGATGGTTTAGAGAGATCTGGATGGGTTAGAGAGGGATGATTGGATGGGTTATGAGAGAGATGATTGGATGGGTTAGAGAGGTCCATTGGATGGTTTAGAGAGGGATAGATCAGATAATCTAGAGAGGTCCAGGTCAGAGAGGGATGATTGGATGGGTTAGAGAGTGGTGGATTGGACGGGTTAGAGAGGCCCAGATGGGTTAGAGAGTGATAGATTGATAATTAGAGGGTTAGAGAGGTCCAGATTGATGGGTTAGAGAGTGATGGATTGAATGGATTTCAGAGACCCAGATGGGTTAGAGAGTGATGGATTGGATGGGTTAGAGAGTGATGGATGGATGGGTTTAGAGAGGTCCTGAAGGTTTGGGATGACTCAGATGGGTTAGAGAGGTCCAGATAGGTTTGAGTGGATGGATTGGATGGGTTAGAGAGAGTGATGGATTGGATGGGTTAGAGAGTGATGGATTGGATGGGTTAGAGAGTGATGGATTGGATGGGTTTGAGAGACCCAGATGGGTTAGAGAGTGATGGATTGAATGGGTTCAAGAGGCCAAGATGGGTTAGAGAGTGATGGATTGGATGGGTTTTAGAGGCTCAGATGGGTTAGAGAGTGATAGTTTTAATGGGTTAGAGAGTGATGGATTGGTTGGGTTAGAGAGTGATGGATTGGATGGGTTAGAGAAGTCTGAATGGGATGACTCAGATAGTTTAGAGAGGTCCAGATAAGTTAGAGTGGAATGTATCAGATGGGTTTGAGAGGCCCAGATGGGTTAGAGAGTGATGGATTGGATGGGTTAGAGAGGCCCAGATGGGTTAGAGAGTGATGGATTGGATGGGTTTGAGAGGCCAAGATGATTTAGAGAGTGATGGATTGGATGGGTTAGAGAGTGATTGATTGGATGGGTTAGAGAGTGATGGATTGAATGGGTTAGAGAGTGATGGATTCAATGGTTTAGAGAGTGATTGATTGGATGGGTTAAAGAGTGATGGATTGAATGGGTTAGAGAGTGATGGATTGGATGGGTTAGAGAAGTCTGCTTTAAATCCCAGCTGTAGGATAAATGTAGAGAAGGATGGGTTAGAGTGATGGATTGGTTGGGTTAGAGAGAGTGATTGATTGGATTGGTTAAAGAATGATGGATTGGATAGGTTAGGAGTGATGGATTGGATGGGTTAGAGAGTGATGATGGATTGGATGGGTTAGAGAATGATGGATTGGATGGGTTAGAGAGTGATTGATTGGATTGGTTAAAAGAATGATGGATTGGATAGGTTAGGGAGTGATGGATTGGATGGGTTAGAGAGTGATGGATTGGATGGGATAGAGAGTGATGGATTGGATGGGTTAGAGATTGATGGATTGGATGGGTTAGAGAGTGATGGATTGGATGGGCTATAGAAGTCTGCTTTAAAGCCCACCTGTAGGGTAAATATAGAGAAGGATGGGTTAGAGAGGGAGGGATCAGAAAAAAATTATAATTTTGCCCAGAGTTGGACTTTAACATTCAGTTTTTGTTGAAATGTATCTTTTGTTGGACCCGCATCTCTATCATAATCAGTGCAATGACAGAAAGACAAGGTTATTCACCAATGTCTCTTCTCATTGCCTCCCTTGTCCACAAGATGAACAATTGCCAGTCACCGAGTGCTACCCTGCGGCCAGCTGTTTGACGATGGACGAGTGTCTTTTCTCAACAACAATGTCTTTGTATACATGAGTAATGAATAATCAATCTTCCTTCCCTAGACCCCGTTCTGATGAGCCTGAAGGAAGGGTACCGCAAGGAGTCAAAGGCTACATTTAAAGCTCCGGTGAGAGACAAGAAGAGTATGGTTGTAAACAGCATCGATTTGCTAGAGAATGTGCCACCTCGCACGGAAAACGAAGTGAGTATAGATATCAGATCGACCTACGCTGTTCCCTGATGCAACTCGGTACATTTCTGCACACCTAATATCACACAATTTACACACGGTTGTCATAGGCAAAAGTCCAAAGTAGCCGGACTGGACCAAAATTCTTCATTTAGCCTCTTGCAAGCAATAAATCTTCTAATGATTAAGGTCACCCTGTTAGAAGCATATATCCTCGCCGCACTTCCTGTGTTTTACTTTCCCCCCCCTTCCTTTCAGTCCGGACACTTTCCCCCCCTTTCCCCCCCTTCCAGTCCGGACACTTTCCCCCCCACTTTCCAGTCCGGACACTTTCCCCCCCTTCCAGTCTCCGGACACTTTCCCCCCCTTCCAGTCCGGACACTTTCCCCCCCTTCCAGTCCTTCCTGGACACTTCCCCCCCTTCCCCCCCAGTCTGGACACTTTCCGGACACTTTCCCCCCCCCCCCCTTCCAGTCCGGACACTTTCCCCCCCTTCCAGTCCGGACACTTCCCCCCCCCCTTCCTTCCTGTCCAGGGCAATTTTCAGCTTTTTCAGCGCTATCACACTTTGAATGACAATTGCGCGGTCATGCAACACTGTACCCATATGAATTTTTTACCATTTTTTTGAGACAGATAAAGCTTTATTTTGGTGGTATTTATTCACTGCTGGGATTTTTATTTTTTTTACTATGTAAATGAAAAAGTCCAAAAATTTTGAAAAAAAGTGTTTTTTTTAATAAAATTTTGCAAATAAATAATATTTCATCATAAATCTTGGCCAAAATTTATTCCGTTATTTTTTTAGTAAAAAAAAAAAAAAATCCAAATTAGTTTATAACCAAAAATTATAATTTTTAAACATTTTTTTTTACATTTTTATTTTATTTTTTTTATATTATTATTTTTTATTTTTATTTTTTTTTTTACATACTGTCACCCTAGCAGTACAGTGTCACCATGGTGACACTACTACTTGTGGGGGGTGATGAAGATTTTTTTTTTTTTTTTACACGGATTGCTTTTACACCCATATAGGATGTAAAAGCAATCATTTCTCTTTCTCTCTGTCTGCATTCTTGCAGTCATTGAGAAGTACTGAGTGAGCTGTGATTGGTCCAGCTTGTCACATGGTACAAGGCTGTTGTGAATAGCCCTGTACCATGTGACCGCTGTGATTATTCACAGATTTCATAAGTAGTAAGCAATGATGTCAGAAGTGACCTCTTGCTTACTACTCTGCATGTGATCACTGATTCGCCAATCAGTGATCACATGATCGGGACCTCGTACAGAGGTCCCGTCCGACGATTGATGTTTCAATGTGTCCAGAGGACACAGCGGCACCAGATCGCGGTGCTGCTGCTACAGCTAGAAAAGGCGGGTGCCGTTTGTTAACGGCAACCCGCCCCTGGAGTGCCACCGCCCTGCCGTTTATCAACAGCAGGCGGACGGCAAGAGGTTAAGAGACGCTGTCACTTTAAGAATGCTGAAAACTGCTGAAGCATAGGCACCCATACCTGCAGCAGAATTCTCTGTCCTCTGCTTCACCTGAATGCTGGGCTGGTCCATTTTCACAAAGTTCAGACAATTCTGGATAGTCTCGGAACTTGCCGCTAAACGACGCACATTCCTATTGGTCCATCACTCTGATGGGCTTCCTCATTGGACAAAAAATAGGTGAAGAACAATAGAGACTGAGCAAGATGTAGCACTACTGAGAAGAGTTAAAGCTTTCCACTTTCTATGTGTCAGCAGAATTCATTATTTAGAAAGCAGTGTTTCTCAACCAGGGTTCCTACTGAGGTAAATAGGGGTTCCTTGAGCAAGGAGCCAATTGGTAAATTGATCTCCCACATACACTGGCCATCAATGCAAGGGGGGCAATTTTCCAATAACCACCAATGTAAGAGATCACTTCTACAAAGACCACCAATGTTAGAGGTCACCCCAGTTTTTATTCAAGATGAGCTCTACTTCTATGCCAATATGGCCCATGGGTCGCCAGGTCTATGGCTGGGTTCCTATACACCCAAAAGTCCGCCCAAGTATAGTAAATGCTGAAGTCTAGACCACAAGTTTTACCTTCTCCCTATTCTTTTCTGCTGCTACTCATTTCAAGATTATAATTAAAAATAATTTTGTTAGGTTGGTAACAAAATGATATGCCCCGGGCAGGGATTTGGAAAATAGGCCCTGGCATTTTAGACTGAGCAGCCCATATGTTTTTCTTGACATCGATTTCTCAATGTCTTTTAGTTTTTAGTTTTATTAAACCTGTTTCAGTCACTGTAATTTAATAATCATTTGGAATTATGTAAATATATGATAATAAATGAAAGAATGAATGCTGGGTTTTTACAGGTAGTTACCACTGAGCGCCAGCATCAAGTTCTGCATTGAGACCGAAGGGAGGACTAGTCTCAGAGAGTCTTGCTCGGTCGGTGTCCCTCCCTAGAGGCCCACATGGCCTGCGGCAGATAGAGACCCGCGGGTGAGAGCCAAGTGCATAATTTATAATCTCATATTTTATGTTGTGGTTCTCACCCTCTGGAGCTCTCTGTCACATTAGCCATCTCTTGTTAGATCCAGGGCCATCTTTAATATGGATTGCACCCTGAGCAAACATTTTCCTGGGCAAAGGAGGGAAGCGGTGAAGGTCTTCTCCTTGCCTGCCTCACTGCCCACCTTCCCCGCGGCCTCTGTCTTTGAGGCCACCTGCTCACCGTGTACAGATGATATGCGGAGCAAGGTGCTTTCAGCCTGTCTGCACCCTGAGGAGGCCACTGTCAGTACCGGATTTAGATCCGCAGGATCCAAGGCCTTCTCTGCCCCGTTCCCACTGTCGTCGGACCTGGACTCTCCATGACAAGGGGCTCAGGGGCACAGCTGCTTTGGGTCCCACAACAATGACTGGGTCCGTTGCAGCTGCCCCTTTTGCCCCATGGTAAAGATGGCCCTGGTAAGAACATGTGGCCCAGCAGCCACCGGGCAAATTCCAGGTGGCATGCGGCAGATAGAGACCCGGGGTGAGAGCCAGATGCATGATATATGTGATATAATCTCATATTTTATGTTGTGGTTCTCATTCTTTGGAGCTCTCTGTCACATTAGCCAGCTCTTGTTAGGACCAGGGCCATCTTTAACATTGATTGTACCCTGAGCAAACATTTTCCTGGGAAAGGGAGGGAAGCGGTGAAGGTGTTCTCCCTTCCGGGCTCTCGGTCCTTGCCGCCCTCACTGCCCACCTTCCCCACGGCCTCTGTCTTTGGGGCCGCCTGCTCACCGTGTACAGATGAGGAGCGGAAATGTGGCCTGGCCACTCCAACCACATCCAAGGTGGAGATAACATAGTCCCCCCACTTTCTTTACTCCTCCAGAACCTCTCCCTGTCACAAAGTGCTGTCCCTAACAGAGGGGGAACCTGTCCCTACATTAACCACTCGCAAAATGCATGCCAATTCATGGGATCAGAGGCATAAATAGGCTCTGCCCTCAGATGGCTGTGGCGGTCACGAGTGCCCCAGTGTCCAATTGGAAAGCCACTCTCCTGGTGATCGCAGGAAATCATAGAGGAACTAAGTTTCCCATAACTTCCTTCCCCTTCTATATTGCCGATATAGCCTAGAGCCACCTACAGTGGGGAGTTGTCAGGGCAGGAGCTGTGGAATGGACAGGCAGGCCTAATGGCAGGAGGCGCGGAGTATAAGCCCCAGGCTGCCCTTCACCAGGGCCCCTGATGGTGGGGATGGACTTGACGCAGCCAGGAACCAGGTCGCGGCCCCCCGAGAAACCCCAGCTGCGGTAATGGCCGCCGCCAATGGTGTATAGCGGGTAGGAACCAGATAAGAACAATAGCGTAGTCGGACAGGCCGGGTAAATAACAGCGGGACAGACAGTACAGAACGGTAGACAAGAATACACGGGTCACAAGCCGGGTTCAGCAACGGGAGGTCAGATAAAGGGATAAGGCTGAGAGTAGTCTTAGACAAAGCCGAGTCGGTTTCCAGGAGAGCCACAAGAGTAGAAACAGAGCTTTCAACAACACTTAACAAACAGGACATGAATGCAAAGAGCAAGTGCAGACAACAGGCTTAAATGTGCTCAACCACACCCCTCTGGGGGATGGACTGCAGAGGCCTGAAAGCATAAAAGGCTCCCACCATGCTTTGCAGAAACCCAAGATGGATGCCAGCACATGGAGCAGCATAACCTCTGGGAAAAGGAGTATAGAATGCACCTACCTACATACTGGCTCAGCCAAGTGCAATTGGGCACAGGACTATGCACGCACCATCAAACAGGAGGCCAACTAGCCACAGCTCAGGGAAACCCTAGAAACCTCTGAAGGGCTCCTGGGGTTCTCTGGAACTTTGGTTGAGAATGACTGGACTAGAGATTTTTGAAGTAACTTTAAAATCCCATAATGCTCATATCTATATCTGTAAGGGTTACTTTGCTCTTCTGCTTTTGGAACCAAGACACCTTCTGCTCTGCAGGCCAAGGACACCCAAGGCTGAGCACAAATATTCTGCAAATTAACTTCTAAAGTATATTCTTATTTGTACATAAAGAATTATGTGTTAAGTACGGTGTCAGTCAACACAAAGTACTAGCTGCTAGTCACAATGTTCACTCTGCATGTGTCTATTCTGCTGTATGCATATACTGTGCCCTTCACCCGCTCACTTACCTGTGCCCTTTAGCTTCTGCGCATGTTCTACCGGCAGCAGGATGAGATTCGACGTCTGAAGGAGCAGCTGGCTCAGAGGGACCTCCACATCCGACAGCTGGAACTGGAGCTCAGAAACCTAAGGAATAGTCCTAAAGAAAGCTAGCTGTCCTCGACACCCTCATGGTGGCCATATGTTGTCACAGGAAGAGATGGCTTCCCCATGTAACCCAATCTTGTGGGAGTTATAGACTAACTGGCCCTAGTGCCTGCCATAGGCGCCCGGCAATGTGTATTGATCTGCACTAATTACTCAAACCATCATGTATCCAAGAAGGGTCGTGCATACAAGTAAATGCAACTAACTCCTCAAGTACTTCAAAAACCCAGGGCTTGGCCAAGGCCAACACTGTCAAGCCCAGCTGTTTCAATTGGGTCATGATAAATTCTTAGTTCTGAGCCTTACATGATCAAATCTTGGGGGAAAAGAGATGGGTTTGTAAAAGACATCCTTCAGGCTTTAGGTTGGTTATACACAGGAAGAGTTCACCTTATCTTACCATGTGTGACAGGAAGAGAGGACATTTGGAGGCCAGATGTCACGGTTGCAGGGCATCTGATGTCATCATCGAAAAAATTATTTTTTCTACAAATTCACTATTTATTTCCGCTTACACAACACAACGTATTACTGCTCAATAGACAGTTTTTAGTGCACAAGGATGTCAGGTGATGAAAAGATCACGCAAGGGTCCCTTTGTTGGAATGATTAGATAACCTGTGTATGACCAGCTTCATATTCTGCGTCAATTGCCCTGAAGGGACTTAAAAATAAAGTGGCTGCCAACAGCAAAGAGCTATGGTGTAGAGTTGACAGGGCACTTCTTTAGGCTGGCCATACGGTAGAATTTCGTTCCAACGTTTGTATGGAAATTCTGAAAAATTGTTCTTCAGAGCGTTCCATCTTGCCATTATTAAGTCAACTAATTTCCCTTCTATACTGTGTGAGGTGATTGTAGCCGTATTAGTGCACTTGTGACAGAAACAATTGAGTACTGACGTGATACTTTTTTTATTTGCACTAACATACAATTTTGAGGACAAGGTTTTGGGGTATGTCCCCTTCTTCAAGGTCCAGGCAGTACTCTGACCTGGTCCAGAGTACTGCTTGGACCTTGAAGAAGGAGACTGTAACGAAACCGGACCCCGACTGCCCTAGGGTATTTCCGTTAGACTCTCGCTTCCCTGTTCGAACACCATCCACAGACCCCACTGCTGACCATACAGGAAATAGACAGCACCAGACTCTTCTTAAAGACAGGAAGTCAACTGCTTTATTTTAACACAAACACAAGATTTATACACAGGGCGGGGAAATACAACCAGGAACAGGAAACACATCAGCAGGCCGACCCATCAGGGGGAAGGGCTGCAGGAAACACCCCCCCACCAAACCAAGACATACAATAGAACAATGGGATGCAGCACCTGGCAGTGAACAATGAAAAACCCCCACACCAATACACAAACATTACATCCCATAATAGTTTGCTAGAACTCTGGGATGCAGCCACATGGCAGAGGACAATGAACAATCCCTACACCAATATTAGACCTTTTCACCCTGTACCCCTAACAGGCACAGGGTGGGTTACACATAAGAGGAATCTGGGGAGCTGATACAGGGGTCCCCCCACCCCCAAAAGTCACTCCCGTCACAGGGACATACCCCGAAAGCTTGTCCTCAAAATTGTATGTTAGTGCAAATAAAAAAAGTATCACGGACAGTACTCAATTGTTCCCTTCTATACTCAAAGTTTTGTCAAGACCTGCTACTTGAATGGAAACCCAAATGTATTAAATAGGTTCTCTTTGTACCTACAAGTAAAAAAAAAAAAAAAAAAACACATTTACAGTTAAATATTATCAAGAAAAATGTTGCGCTACTCATAAAATATATAAGGATATACTGACCTCCCATAAAAACTAAACATAAACCATTAAATTTTAGAACAAAATAACGGTTTTTTTTTCTCAATGATCCTCCTGTATATCAACACATAAAATCTCAATGAATAATAACAAATTAAAGTCAACTGTGGTCAGTAATTCTCGTGTAAATTCAAATCCGTGCTCCACCAGAAACTGGAGTTCTTCACCACCAACAGAAATTCTCGCTCAACTGACTTCTGGACCCTTTATAGATATACAGGTCACAAAATGCTTTTACAGATCATATGCTGATGAATCCATCCGAGGCTCCCCAGGGTGATTGAGAGACAGGTTCCCTTAAAAGCACCAGCGAGTTACCTTTAAATAAAAGGCATCATTTCAGCCATTCTCCAGATAACTCATGGAGGAAAGACAGGAAGCCCCCAATAGGGTAGTACTGTTTAATAGCATTAGAAATGCAAAAACGCTCTCACAATATGAACTTGAGTCACAGACTCATTGCCGGCTTGAAATACATGAAATTCTGGTTTTGGCTCCGCAGCAGAAGTGGCGTCACTTGGCTCCGCCCTACGTGTTACGCCACTATCCAAGTAGCTTTATCAGGGCAGAGTACGTGAAATTCTGATTTCAGTTCCGCACTGGAAGTGACATAATTTGGCTCCGCCCTATGTGTTACGTCACTATCCACGTAGCTTCATCAAGGTAGGATTGTTTATGTATTTCAAGCTGGTAATGAGTCTGTTTTGCTCATTCCATCCTGCTTCATTAAACGTTCTCAATACTACGATCGACAATGATACCCCAGTAACCATTACACTATCCACGTAGCTTTATCAGGATAGAGTACATGAAATTCTGGTTTCAGTTCCGCACTGGAAGTGATGTCACTTGGCTCCGCCCTACGTGTTACACCACTATCCATAAACCTTTATCAGGGTAGAGTACGTGAAATTCTGATTTCAGTTTCGCACTGGAAGTGACGTCACTTGGCTCCGCCCTATGTGTTACATCACTATCCACGTAGCTTCATCAGGGTAGGATTGGTCATGTATTTCAAGCTGGTAATGAGTCTGTTTTGCTCATCATTCCATCCTCCTTCATTAAATTTTCTCAATACTACAATTGACAATGATACCCCAGTAACCATTACACTATCCACGTAGCTTTATCAGGATAGAATACATGAAATTCTGGTTTCATTTCCACACTGGAAGTGACGTCACTTGGCTCTGTTCTATGTGTTACGCCACTATTCAAGTAGCTTCATCAGGGTAGGATTGTTCATGTATTTCAAACTGGTAATGGGTCTGTCCTGCTCATTCCATCCTCCTTCATTAAACTTTCTACGATCGTCAATGATACCCCAGTAACCATTACAAAATCAAATAAACGCTCCAAAAATTTAAATTTTCTAACAAAACTCTACCAGTGTATGGCCAGCCTAAAGCCACATTATCTGTTAATTATTTGCTAAAAAGGGCCCTCATAAGGGCCCTTGAATTGGATGTGTTGTAACAGACACACCTTAATTCCCAGGAACACAACACCATATAGACCATGTAAGTGCTTGCATAAAGCCAGCCTTTACCTCTATGGTATGCACCTTCGTGGCATGCACAGGAGCCCTGGTCCATGTAGACTGTACATGGTGGAATGCACTGTGCTGTCCTGCACTGCGTGTGAATTGCAGAATGTGTTTACCATGTAAAGGTAAATGCAGACTGTGTGGTGCATGAAGGACATTTGACAATGCAGAAGTTTAAAGAGAACTTGACCAAGCCTAAAATGTTTTTTACGGTAATGACAGTTCTGACACTTTGCCTGCAACTATCTATAATAGTCTTCACCTGTAGAGCCCCTGGGACCTTATCCCCAAGCTGTACATGGCATCTTGACTTCTGTTCACGTTGAGATTAAAGTGAACTTTGCTTTGTCCATGTCGGGCAAATTGATCGGTTCACGGATTTTCCTTCCTCCCCAACAACATATACTCACCTTCCCATCTCTTCCCCACCCCATTTTGCTCGCCACCAGGAACAATTTGGAGTTTATGCAGAGTTTCCTGAAAGGAGGTGAGGGAAAATTAAAGCCCAACGAAAGGAAAAATAAAAAAAATCCACCTTTGAAGTAGGACCCTCTGCAATACGAGGGTTAATTGCTCATTTGGTCTCATAACAGAGGATTACGGAGTAATACTTACCTTACTCTTCGCTCCAACAGTCCCCTGGTCACACTCCAGCCTCCTCATTGTACAGGATTAATGTCCCTGTATTGTATGTGATGATGCTGAACCCCATCCATGGCCTGGCCCTTTGGGCGGAGGAGGAGAACACTGGATTTGGCCAGCAGGAGGAATCAGGTAAGTGAGAGATCCTCTTGGGAAACCCTCTAGAGCAATATAGCTTGCATTGCTGAGGGCCCCACTGAAAAGGGGGAGTTTTTATATTTTCCTGGAGTTGGGCTTTAAACGAATTTGTTGCTCTGCCCTTCACAGGCTTGCTTTAAGCCTTTCCCCTCCTGATGCTAACATCCACCTCTATGGTTATCCATGACTTTATGACTAAGCTCAATCAGGGCGAAATGCATCAGTAGGGTGTGGCTATGGGGGGCTGTTGGACCTGGAATAAAGTTTTTTCTGAAGGAGTGATGTGGTCAGAGTGAGACGTTGTGACCCACCCCATGTCATTCAACTTTCCAATGCCACAGTCTGGACTGCCCACTGAAGTTCTTAAATGATATGGTTGAGGTTAAATGTTAACTTGTTCTCCATGTCCAGCCTGGGTCTTAGATACAACAGGTTCTCCAGAGACTTTGAGACCAATTTGAAAATTAACACAGGTACTTTGTCATGAATCGGGCTGTGGAGCTCAAGGTGATGAAGTTGGCCCTTGCACAATTCCTGCTCAGGAACCTCTGGAAGTGGAGGCAGGGGCTGCTAGGGCAGCGGAAGGGTGCGGGTGACAGGAAGTTTGTCCTCTAAACTTAAACTTGAAAGTACCGATGTCAGATGAGCAGATGCGCGGATTCAAGTCACAAGCCGAGTTTGATAATAGCCAGGCAAATAGGTTCCAAATCATGAGTCCAGGTCAGAGACAGGCAAGGGTTGAACGTGTGCTGCCAGAAAAGTACTAAATCAGAAGGCAGAAACTTGGTCAACGGTCCAGACCAAGGTCAGTAACAGAAGCAGACATGATCAGGCAAGGGTCATCCAGA